AATCATGCAGCTGTTAAAGCTCTTATTCTACGTACACGTGCTGGAATCAACAGGATGGCTCAGGAGATTTTTCTTTGGAAGCAGCTGTTGAATACAGCTGCATTGGCTGGGTCGCTGACTAAAGGTATCCTCCATCGTGCGCGCTGGCTCTTAAGCACAGATCTCTTCTCCCAGCAAAACATGTTGTGAAAAAGATTCTTAAGCAGTTTTGGGGTGCCGGGCCCAAAAATGGGGAGAAGAAACCTCAACAGATGCATGTTCATATAGAATTGCTTGTTGGGTTTCGTGCGCTGTAGTGCCCAGAGCACTGGCTTGCTCCTTAGGTGAGCTGTGGAGATGCATGTATATCACTCCTTGCTTAGCAGCCTGATCAGTGCACGCTCAGGAAAGGTTTTTTCCTCCTCCTGTTGGCTCATGCGTTTTGTCCGTTGAGCCTTCTTGGGAGATAGGCCTGCAAACCTGGCCCCGTAACACAAATGTTTGCAAAAAGTCTGTCCCAGTTGCATGCTCATAAACATAGATGCATAGTCTTAAATGGCTACTTTTGACTAACCCTGTGTGACACATCCTAACCTGAGCAGAAAAACTCTATGAGAGCTGGGTCTTATGTGCCTGAAGTGTCACCAAAATGTAGCTGTTCTTTTGTGTAGCCCCTAAATATGGATCCCATTTCCAGGGGAGCTCTATGTGCACCAGGTCAAATGTCCTACAGCATCTAGAACAAAACCATAAGGATGAGGTTGAGATGATTTGAGGAAACCTGTAATATTTCAACGCTCTTTCTTTGCATTTGAGTCCATCTTTGCCAAGCCTGCAGGCTGTTTGACGGAGCTATCAGCATGCATACGTTTGTATTCGCAGTGTTAAAACAATCTCACTTGCTTTGCTGTTGTTTTTAACACTACCCCAGCCCTGGCCTCTGAAGCTTTTTGAAAATAACATTTACAATAATATTTTTAACAGTTCTGTAGTATACAAAACTCCAGCGCCCTGGCAGGACTCCCGGAAACTTGCTGAAAGTTAATGTGGTCAACTCTTAAAAAGGAGAGATTTTTTCCGCTTGACTCTTGCTTGTTAAACTCTCTGAGCCCAACATGTTGTTCCCTGCTGCTTGAAAAAACAAGGAAAGTCCCAATTTTAGCAATGCTAGTTTGAGTAGCTTTCCAGCTGAGCCATATTTCAGGGGCAACTGTGGCTTATTATTATTTTTTTTTACGGCGGTGTGTCCCTACACTTCAAACCAAAGTGTTAAGTGGTGCTCAGGAGGAATAAGTAGGTGCTGCTTTCCCTGGAAGCCTGGGGATGATAAACTGCAGAGGGAAACATCACCTGCAGTAGTGGCAAGACATCCCGGCTTGGAGGCCGTGTTTTATGTTGGATGCTGAGCCTCTGTGGGGTAAGAACAGCCCTTTTGGGGGTAAGTGATGCTGTAAATCCCATTTCACGTCAATGGTAGGCTGCTGGTTACTCCAGCTCTCGATGCTGGACTGTGCTCTTCAAGCTTTCCTAACCTCCATCTTGCATCCTTCCTCCCAGTAAGTCTCTTCCAGTCACGTTTTTGTCTTCCCTCACATCCCGAGAAAAATCGCTCTTCTCCATCCTCTCCTCCCCGCTTTGCTTTCCACAACTTTGATGCACAGAGGCTGGAGTCATGTCTAGCTGGGCAGAAATGTTGCTGTTGTCTCCCTTGAACTCAGTCTTGCTTAATCCCTTCCCAGTCAGGAGTATGGGGTGAAAAGGGAAGAACTGGGATTGATTTTTAAAGTGAATTAACCACCTTGCATATCGTTCTCGCGTGGATACTCCTACTCTGCACTCATGTAGCCATAATGATGTTGAGCTGCTTTGGGTGCAGAATTGAGTTCAGCTCAGTCAAATCAAAGCTGCTTTTTATTCCAGATGAGAGCATCTATACTGGGCTTTCCTGCAGGTTAAGTAACCTCCAGCAGCTTCCTGAGCAGACGGGAGCAGCCAAAGTTTCTTGCGTGCAAGACACAAACCTGGGATATGAGTACGGCATCGCCCCAGCATCCCTGGGAGCTGACGCTTTGCTGAGCTCTTACTTTCGTTGCTTGGTAGGAGGCATTTGTGCACGGTGAGGTTACCAGGGCAGTAGTTTGTACATGACGATGGAGATTTACAGTAGATTTACAGCTGGATCCGCCAGCTGTGGGAGCGGTGGAGTGCGAAGCAGGAGCCCTCTTTCAGATGCTCGCTGGTTTGTGTTGTAAACTGCCGGCACTTGAAGGCTCTGATCAGGGAGCTTAGTGGCAGGAGAAGGGGGATGCTGCTTTGAAGTGTATCAGAATAGAAAAAGGATTTTTCCTTCCCTCCTCCCCCTTATTTTTTCCCTTTTTTCCCCCTGTTTTTTAAGGGAGATAATAAAAGGGCATAATTTGTACTAGAAACAGGAATTTGTCCTTCTGTAACAGGAAGCTGCTGGTATGTATTTTTGGGAAGCCACGGAAATCGCCCGTGTTTGCAGTCCAATTTGAAGGCTGGCTGTGTTCAGGATTGAAGAGATCTTGCTAAAATAGAAAACCTTTTTTCTCCCGTGTATCCGTGGAGATTTCCCGCACCGTGCGCAGGGGCTGGTTTGCTCACGAGAGCTGGGCAGTGGGGTCTTGGGGGCTTGCTGTGGCGGAGGTGATGGAGAAAGCACAGGGCAGGGCTCTGCCGATGGAAAGGTCACCTGTTTTTCCAGGATTCATTTGCACGGTTCCTGTAGGTGCATGCTTTTGTAACTAGACAGGGATTGCAAAGGTCTGGAAGGTCTCCAAATAAAGCCATTAGAAAAGTCTGTTACACTGATGGGAGAGTTAGCCGGCGCTAGCCCAGGAGTTTAGGGTTAATCCAGGCTATCTGCAGGTGGCCCTTGGTGCAAACTCTGCACACAGCTTAATTGCTGGAAGCATCGCATCAATTTTGAAAGCAAAATCAGTGAAGATTTGGGCTGTTTCCTGCTCTTGTTGTAACCAGATGGAATTTTTACACTACTTTTTGGTGGTTTTCTGCTCTCTCTTGATCCACTTTTGCATAGACTGACCGGTTCCTTCTCAAGATGGGATTTTAAACCTTTCCAAGTCTGTTAGTTAGTTCCTTGCCTCTTCTTTTGCCTTGAAAACAGACAGTCCTGGGCGGCCGTGGGCTCTTCGGCTAAATGGTGCTGTCCTTGAGAGGAAGCTGCAGCAGCAAAAGGAACAACGCACTTCGGGGCACATGTACGTCTCCGCCTCTGCTGCTTTCTTATCGCTTTCCTTTCCTGCTCGTCTCTCTCAAAATAGGCTGGATAAATATCCTCCTGCTTGCCAGCACCAAGGCGCCAGAGTTGCAGAAAATCATTTTAATCCAGCCTATTCCCGTTCCTGGTTCACTTCAGATGTTTTTAATTGTGTTTAAATTGATTTGACCGAGCTGGGAGATTTTCAAAGTGCCTTTTTCTACTGCTTCTGCCCAGTCTGCGATGCGTAACACTGCAGAATTCATGTCCGTGTCCTGGCACACTCAGCTCTCGTTGGCTGTGGGGCAATGTTGCCCTGCAAGTCAGATGAAGTCCTTGAGATGTCTGTCCATTTACTCACGCTATCACGCAGGTTTATGGCCAAGAAATCTGTGGGCTTATCAGTCAGCTAAAGCGGACTGGTCTTTGCTCATCACTTTTATCCCATTGCTGCTTAAAAGGTGCCCATCTTGAGGTGCGTTATACCTTTGTTCCGTCTAAAATGAGGTTTTCCACTAGTGAGCAGGACTGACTCCACCAGGCTCGGGTTTACACTCTAAGTTTCTTGGTGAGCGAAAAAACCCACCCCTTTGCTGGGCACAGAGCTTTGGCTAAATGCAGCGTGCCAGGTAGCTGAACCCCCTCCTGCATCAGTTTTGGGCAAATTAGCGGATAGCCATGAGGAGCTCTTGGCAACAGGGGCTCTGGAAGGGCTGTAGGGGCACGGCCTGCCAAGAGGGATGTATGGGGCATACGTTCCTGCCGAGAACTGCCCAGACTCAGGGTTTTTTTTTTCCCATGCGGTCAGAGGAAGGCTGGTCCAGCCTTGAGGAACCTTGGCTGGAATTTGGAAGGCCTAAATTTAGGTTTCTGCTTCAATACAGGCTGCCTCTGGGACTGACTTTCCATGTCCTGCTGTCTGTCTGTTCCCCAAGTGAGTGTTATTTCATAGGGATGCTGCAGAATGTAATGCGTTAAAGATGGTATTGCTTTAAGGTTACATTTAATAGTGAAAAAATACATTAAAGGTGTAATGTATTAAAGATGGTCTGCCCTTAACAAAAGGAGACCTGTGGCACAAGTATAAGGTGGTTACTCCAAGATTTTAAAAACAAAAAGGTACCAGGTTTGTAGTGTGTTACCTTTGGGGTGTGGAGAGGAGAGCAGACTTCTGGTCTCAATTCCGAACTAAACGGTTCTCCTCTTTCCTCCAGCCCAGGTGATGGTGGGGAAATGCTTTGTGAAGGGTGGTCCTGTTCGGTCTCTGTCACTGCTGACATGTCAAAATTCATCTGTAAACTCTGTGTATGTTTGTTATTACAGGGTGGATGCTTGAGAGTGGAGGATAAGGTACAAGTGTCTGGGACCGGTGGAATGGAGGCCTGATGTAGATGGAAAGATGGGTAAGAACTGGATTCCCCTGAAGCAATTAATTTTCTGCAGCCTGCTAATTTTGGTTGGGGCTACCAAGCATGACAACAGAGTGGGAGACATTGCCAAGATGGTCTGGCTGAATATTACATTGCTTTCTCATTTTTTTTTTCCCTCCAGTGGTGTCAAAATTGGACAAATTCTCTTCTTACCATCAGTGTGATCTGGTGGGCCATGTTCTAGATGGAGCCTCTTCCCAAATCTGCCTTGTATTTCTAGGCAGAGCATCTTCATTCCCTCTATCTCTTCTCCCAAGGAAGCTTCTGTTTCAAACAGAGCCTGAGTATACTGCTTTTCTAATCGGTGACCTGGATTACGTGCACCTTCTCCCTCTTCCGCTGAACAGTTGTGTATCAGATGCTCTGTGGTGCTGAGGGAGACTTATTTTTTTAAAGTGGAAATTATTTGTAGCTCTGGAGGTACATAATGATCTTGATCTTATCTCTGCTGCTAAAGAAAACTTGTTATGTCAGAAATCGGGACCGCTTGGAAGTGCTGGACTCTCTCAGTTTTAGCACGTGAATAATCAGATCAGCGGTGTTGTCTCACGTGAGCAGATGAGTGTGAGAGCCCCGGCCTCCTTCAGCTTCTCACGCCATTGGCCATCAAACTTACCACATTACTCTTCCAGATCATACCTTACTTGCAGGAAAATGTCCATGCCCTGCTTCTGTGCTTGTAACCTGTCACAGAGGTGGGACACAGCTGGAGGGACTGCCTGGTGTCTTCTCATCCCTGCTAAAGGGCTTCACAGAAGACGCATGTCTCACTGACAGCAGCACTGATGGGTTTGGCATTCAGCCAGCATTTCATGCATTTATGAGCATGGTAAAGTATGAGAAAGCTCTTTGCAGAATGAACATGGACCACAAAAATAATTCCAAAGTGGTCTACAAGCCATTTTGCCAGCCAGCAGCAGTCCCAGCAACTGTAGGGGTTTCTGCTCCTTTTCTTTAATTTTGCTGAAAAGAGAAAGCTCAGCAGATTGAAGAACAAGGCCAGGTCCTACCTCACATGGGTGTCAGTGCTCGATTAACACGTGGAGCTAATTGAGCTTGGGTTGTCCTGTTGCCATCACCAAAAGAGGCAGGTTACAGAGGAGCCTAAATTCATCTCCTGACATGGCTTCCTGACCTGGTGACCCAAG